TGTTAAGTGTAGCTTTTTAGGACATAATCCACAATTCAAAAATTCTAGCAACAAGGCATGTTCACACTTAAAATGATTGCCTTTTAGGCTACATTCACAAGTTGCCTCCATCTAGCTTATTTCAACACAGGAGAAATTATCTAGGAGGGATAAACAAACGTTTACCTTCCCAGATCAAGTTCTCTTGATTTTAAAGCCACATTCAGGCCTGTGAAAGGGCTGGACCACTTTTACATGCAAGAATCCCAGTGGGAGATCCCTGCAGGAGACAGCCCTATTGAAAGCACTGGGAGGAGGCTGGCTGCTACAGCTAATTGTGGCTGCTCGCATGTGATCACTCATGCAGCCCTTTGCTTGAATATACAGATAGGTACCCTTGTGTAAATGAAGCCTAAAATGTTCCATTCTTAGCATGTAAATTAAGAATCATAGATGTAAACTGAATGAATATACTGTATATATATATATATATATATATATATATATATATATACACACACACACAGTAAATACATATCGTTTCAGTATGTAAAGTTATTTCATGGAGCCTAAGACAATCAAGCCGTTTATTAACATCAGAAAATAGTCAAAGCTCATCCAAATGAGTGACTGCAGGCTGGAGAATTTATTGTTATAATGGATAATTGTTCCTTCATGAGATAGGATCAATATATGTGTTTGTGATCATGAGACTGGTAAACCACATGACAGCACATGACTTCCTAGAGGGGTTTTTTGCTCATTAATTCTCTGTAACACATTAGCTACAACCTAGGGCTCATCAACACTTTCCTAGTATTCATGCAATTTCAGTAGCACATTAAATGTCTTAATCAGCAAAAAGTAAAAGTGATAAGGCAAGAAAAACAACATTGAGCTGTTGAATAGTCTGTTCTAGATTGATGGACCAGTCAAATTAAAACATGCCACCCAACCAGGGTTATGTTAACGTATACAAAAAGCTGCCCCCAGGGTCAGAGGCAGGGCTGTACTTCCCCATAATCACACTGAAAGTGTCATCAGGAGAAGGGTAAGGTTCAGGACCAAGCCTTAAAATGTACTATTAACTGTGATCAATATTTTTCTCATTTTGTTTTCTTCTATTCAACATTTGTGCATAAATTCAACAAAATAATAGTAGGGGGAAGGTGGTGGAAGCAATGTTGAGAAACAACTTTTTAATGTTCAGTGAAGATGAATCCATCTCTCTTTTCTCTTGCTTGGCACAGTTAAAAAGCAGTGATATATTGTATATAAAGCAGACCACACGCTGTGCTGCATAGAAATACAGGGTCACATAGACAGCTGTGAAGCAGTGCGGAGACCACTGTTTTCTGTGTGTCCTTGTGGAGAGCTGGGTTTTTCTTCTACAGAAAAATGCAGTTCTCTGCGCTAGTGTGAACCAACCATTATGCAGGCTATACATAGGTCGAATTCCAAACAAATTTTCTTTAGAAAATTGGAAATTGTGCATTTTGTAATCCGATGGTGCCACCATTGGTTTCAAAATTCAACCAACCAAGCCTTCAATTTCTCATGTTGCTACAAAAAAAAATTTGAGGCCAAGAATTCTCTTTCCTTTCCAAGTCACAGCTTTATATTTCTTGCACGATTCTCCCATCATTGATTCAAAATTTGTTCATTTTTCCAACATGCCCGATCAATCATATTCGATGGTCACACGAAAATCAGCCATTTCTGTGACACACTAATGGTGCGAAATTCGAACGAAAATTCTTAGAAAAGATTTTCTAAAGAAAAATTCTTTCAGAATTCGACCCATGTATGGCCGGCTTTAGTCCTCATGCACACTGGACGTTTTTACAGCTGCTGCTTCTGGCGTTTTTATTTACAGTCAGTAAACTCCCCAGCATGTTATCCTGCGTGTGTCATGCACAGAGGCTGTAATCTGCGTTTTTTGGCAGGGGCGTTTTTTGGCTGGAAAAAAACCCAGAACTAGTAGGTTTCTAGAGGAGCTTTTTTAGCTGTAAAAATGATCTAATGCTGAATAATATGGTAAAAATGCAGCAAACTGGTATTTTTGGACATTTTTTGAGCAAAAAAAAATATTTTTGGGAGTAAAAAAGCTAAAAACCACAAACACGGCAAAATGCTGAAAAACTTGGCAAAATGTAACTAAACACTAATTAAAAAATGCTAAAAAAACTTATGTTTTAAAATGTGACTTTACACAGCTAACGCTACCGGTGTTATTAAAATGCCCAATGTACATGGAGCCTAAAGGTGGATAGAGCAGGAAATAGTTGGACAGATGGAAGGAGTGCCAGAGGATACGAGATGTTCTGGAGAAGTCCTGGAGGTGAACATGGGAGACCAGGAGGTATGTCAAAACAGAGCACACGTTACTCTTATTGTGCCACAGAGACATTGCTGTGAATAGTCCATATCTGTGCAGCTTTCATATTTTGTTTTGTGTTATTATGTAATGTATGCATGCTTTTTTTTGCAATCCTGAATCTTTGTATTGGCACCTGTTTAGTAAACTGTAAGTTATATCATTTGCCTATTAAGTTAAAAAAAAAACACTGCAGCTTCTTTTTTCCCTGAATTCCTGCCTGGTCCCCTAATCCAAGTGAATATATTTTCTCCCTAAACAGACAGGAAAGCATTGTTATCTTTTGGAAGCAGTAGAATGAAGCTGTATGCCAAGCTCAGGTCTACATCCCTCAATTACCAGTAAAGAGAGTAAGAGTGCCTTCTGCAAGAAGCTTGACGAGTTATCTAATAAAGGATAAATAGATTTATGAACAGCCTCTCAGTCTACAGTGCCCATCTGCTTCTATTTTGTTGCCGTTCCCAAGGTAACTAAAATATAGAAACTTTTAGTCCTTTGGGTTGTTTCTTATGGGATCTAAGCTGCAGATGACGGAGTATACAACAGAGCATCAACATACGACAGAGAATTAAAGGTTAGTCTGAGCCCTAATGGAGATAATAAACTGCACCGATGTCTTCCATTACTGATAATAAGTACATTAAATCCCTCTTCAATTCTAACTTTTTAAATGAAAGCATAAAGAATTCTGTTCAATGGCCCTAAAATAACTGTAGACATTAGATCAGCCTCTCTCCACCTTTTCAACACAAAGGAACCCTTGAAAAAAACCTTCTATTTTCAGGGAACCCCTGCTAAAAATGACTATATCTACAACTTATGATACATTAGTGTGATTGTCAGTGGTAAGAATGCTCTTTACGCTTGTGGTCATTGGGAGGAATTACCCTTGTACAGATAGCTTAAAGGATCAAAACTGTCAGTGGAAACTTATCTGAGAGGTAGAAATTGCTCATTGATCAAGGAACTCCTAGCAACTTCTGGAAGAACCCTAGGGTTCAATGGAAACCTGGTTGAGAAACCCTGCATTAGATCCTTTCTTGATCCTGAGAATTTTGGGATATCTATTGACACCTTCAGATTTTACTAGACACCAGCCTTTCACAAACCTTTTACAGCAGAGAAACCCTTGATGATAATAATAATAATACACAGACTAAATTATTAACACCCCAGTATTAAATATTAAATGAAATAATTATAATAGAAAGAAAAGAAATGCAGATAGTGATTATTGTAGTATCCCATTGGTGGTCAATGGAGTAGTGCCTCCTTACATTGGTGAGTATAGTGTCCCATTACATTGGTAGTCAGTGAGAGAAGGAATCCCTTCTTTCATTGGTGGTCAGTGTAAAGATTGTCCCATTACATTGGGAATAAATAGGTGGTGTGCCCCCTACCTTGGTGCCAGTCAGGAGTATGTCCATTTTTCTGACAGCTAAAGTTTTTATTGGTGTCACAGTCTTCCCTACCCTTGATAAGTACCTTTTCACTAAGCAGCGTGACTCCTGCAGCCACACAGGCTGGTGGTGATATGGAAGTTAAGTACTGTATATTGTCAATAGTGTGTGAGGTAGTAGGAGTGCTGACAAGTCAGCAACACCTTTTTCTTTCAACTATTCAGATTTTGACAAAATATTCAGACCTTCAATGGTTTAGTATAGATGAAGTGAATTTGTCAAAATATCTGTGAGTTGCTGCTGTTTGAGTAGGGGAAGGGAGGTTGATGAGTTTTAAAGGGTATCCAAACCTAAAAATGAAAATAATAAATCACAGCACCAGTTTTTAGGGTAGATTTAGTTTTACCTTTCAGGAAAAACATTTTCAACGGATACAGCACATATCAGTTAATCTTGCCAGAAGTGCAGTGTTGTTGTGACTCCTGTGAGCTGAGAGGACAGTGTAGACCATGTTACCTTTCTTGTGTAAACTACTAGTCCTAAGTCAGAATGGAGATAAACAAAGGCAGACATGTTTGTCCTCATGACAATCATCGCCCCCTCCAGAGATACAATCAAGAAATGGGTGTAGTCCTGAAAGGACAGAAAATGTTATTTGTAAGATCACCAGGTTCAAATAAAGGGAAAAAGAAAAATAATGCAGCTACCATACAAAATGGCTGGTAAACTGCGGAATATTACATTTTTGGTTTTGAATTTAGATTTTAAGTTGTTCTGATTTTAACTTAATGTAATATATTTAGTGGTGACAGTTGGAAAGAGGTCTTATAGCCATGTTTTTTTCACTGAATTTACTGGGGCTCTCTGATTAACCGCTAGCCTACAGGGCACTTATACCCCCTTCCATCCCAGGCCAATTTCCAGCTTTCAGAGCTGTCGCGGTCATACAACGCTGTACCTATTTTTATCATTTTTTTTGTGCCAGATAGAGCTTTATTTTGGTGGTATTTAATGACCTCTGGGTTTTTTATTTTTTCTTAAACAAACCAAAAACCACTGAAAATTGTGGAAAAAAAACTTTTTTTCGTAGTTTTTGTTATATTGTAAATAAGTGATTTTTCTCAATCACTGATATGCGCTAATGAGGCTGCAGAGGTGGGCAATGATAGGCTGCACTGATGGACACTGATAGGTGGCACTGATGAGGAGGCACTGGTAGGTGGCACTGATGGGCATTGACAGGCATCACTGATGGGCACTGCAAGGCAGCACGGATACATGGCACTGATAGGCAGCACTGATAGGCAGCACTGACTGGCACTGATAGGTGGCACTACTGGCACTGACTGGCACTGTTAGGTGGCACTGACACAGCACTGATAGGCGGCACTGATAGGCGGCACTGACTGGCACTGATAGGCGGCACTGACTGGCACTGATAGGCGGCACTGACTGGCAGCACTGATAGGTGGCACTGATTGGTATTGATAGGTGGCACTGACTGGCACTGATGGGTGACACTGAAAGGCAGCTCAGATGGGCACTGATATGTGGCAACGATGTGCACTGGTAGGCACTGATATGTGGCATTGATGTTGCACTAATGGGCACTGGCACGAGGCACTGCTGAGCACTGACACAAGGCACTGATGGACACTGACAGGTGGCACTGCTGGGGCTACACTGATCATCAGGGCACACTGATCGTCAGTGCCCTGATGACCAGTGTACATGTCCCCTCCGCGGAAAGTCGTTTACCAGCTCTCCTCTCCTCTTGAGCTGTCATCGTGACAGCTCGAGAGGAGAGAAATGTTGATAACCGGCATTTCCCTGTTTATATGTGATCAGCTGTGATTGGACACAGCTGATCACATGACCGAGCCGAAATCTTCGGCTCTTTCCGTGATCGGTGATCCGCTGTGTCCGAGGGACATAGCGCACCGCCGATCGCCGCGCTGCGCGCTCCCTCTGAAAGCTGAAATTTGGCCTGGGCAGGAAGGGTGTAAAAGTGCCCGGTAGGCAAGTGGTTAAGAAATGGTCCCCAAGTAGCAACAAGACAAAATTTGTTGGTTTCCCCAACTGAATTGAGGAGTAATTACGCTATTTTTTGCAGAAAGATCTACAAACAAATATATTTATGTATATTCTATAACCCTAATAAAAATGCTTAAGCCTTCTTTTTTTTTTTTTAAATATATGCATTGTGAACTGGGGAGAGCTAGCCGGGATATATGCCTCCTGGGGTAAGCAGTCTTTCAGGCACAGATACCAAATCCAGTGAGATTAGTGGCAAACTATTTTGTTCAGTGTCTGCTACCCCTCTCTGCCAATCCCTTCACTGGCTTCCACTCACCCAACGAATAAAATTCAAAATACTAACAATTTACAAAGACAACCACAACTCTGCCCCCAGCTACATCACCAATTTGGTCTCAAAATATCAACCAAACCTCTCTCTTCGATCCTCCCAAGACCTTCTGCTCTCAAGTTCCCATGTTACCTTCTCCCACGCTTGCCTCCAGGAATTCTCCCGAGCTTCTCCCATCCTATGGAACGCCCTACCCCAATCTGTCCGGCTGTCTCCTAATCTATCCACCTTTAGACGATCCCTGAAAACCTTTCTCTTTATAAAAGCCTATCCTGCTTCTACCTAGTAAACTGCCATTTATTTCCTCCATCAGCTCATCACCCACAGCTATTGCCTTTTGTATCACTTAACCCCTCCCCCTAGATTGTAAGCTCTAACGAGCAGGGCCCACTGTTTCCTCTTGTACCAAATTGTATTGTAACTGTAATGTCTACCTTCAATGTGTAAAGCGCTGCACAAACTGTTGGCGCTATATAAATCCTCTATAATAATAATAATAAACAGTGAAGGTGTTTATTAGTGCTATTTACAAAAGATTATATACAAAGTGCTGTACAGTGTTTAACCAAAATAAACAGGGCAGGAAAATATCAAACAAAAAACCTAGCCGTGTCCCAGCTCTCACTACACAGTAATGCAGGTCCTACCTACCAGACTACCAGGACTTGTCTGGTCCCCAGGCCAAGAGCCCTGGCTACCCCCAGGTACCCCTCAATCCCCCCCCCGGTGGATTTAATTGCCCATGGAGAGAGAGGTAAACCCTGCACTGGACCTCATATCAGAGATCTCTAAAGGTATAGGTAAGGAACCTGGGAGATCTATAAACCCTGAACAGGACTTTCCTAGGGTTCCTTTGGGACGCTCTGCCACAGCATATAAAAAGCAAAATGTTTAAACTTTGTGGACAGCCTAATTTTTTAGAGTAGTTAGACAAATATGAATACATCATTTTAACTGACATATTTTACTAAGACATAAAATATCTAGTGATAAGCATTTTTTGAACCTGTAAATCAGGAAATGGAATGTTGTGTCAGTTTTATAAACAATGGAAGGAAGGTCTGTAAATTGACAGATTTCATTCCTGAAACCAGTTCTTTATAAGGGTGCTGTTCTTCTTCATATGGCTGGGTTAGTAGTTCACCCACTAAGAAAAAAATCATAGGTGGCAGGGTGCTGCGCACAATAAGTATTGAAGAATGAGTAACAGCCGCAGGAATTTCAGGTGTAAACTCACTAGGCGTTTTTCACTATATCACATGCTGCAGCATGGTTGTGTACATTACTACTGCTTAGTCAAATGATTCAGTTAAGAAAAGCAGATTTGTTCAATGATACTTGTTATGAAAGACTCTTGTCTGTTGTTTCCTGTGGTTTCGCACATGTAATTCTGATATCATCAAGTAGTTGGCGAAGATTACATTCCTGCTAGTCATCAGCTGCTGAGCCCTAGCCTTCATTGTTCAAGCTTCAATCCAAAAGCTCAGTAAGGCACTAGTCATCATTTGTCTCTTCTGGACTTGACTATGCAGGTATTTTACTTGATAAAAGACACCTCCTGTAAAAAGCCATAAAGCCTACAATTGACTGCAACATGTAATACTGTACATTTATTGTGTACTGGCATAATAAACACATAAAAAGAGATGAGAAGAGTGATGTTGCATCATAACTACCATTTTCACCTTTGCTGCAATTTCAATAATGTTGGCCTTAAATTTTACAATGCAATCTGTTTTCCTAACAAAGTCATGTAAACGCCATGCCAGTGCTGACATAGTGTTAAATGTTTTTTTTTTATAAATTAAATAAACTCTAATGCAAATCCTAATGCTATCCCTAGCAATGCCCGAGCGCCCGAATGGTCAGTCCACCCCTGCCCGTGTCATTCCTCCAGAGCACTGCTGTGACCTGGAACTCCAGCGCGCATGCGCAGGAGTAATGTCATCGCGGCTCAGCCAGTGAGACGGCTGAGCTGTGGTCTCTTACCTGTGGTTTACTACCGCTTTAGGTTACAAGACTTCAAGATGGTCACATCACTATTTTAATATCTTCAGCTGGCCAATGGTACCCAACTAGAAGTCACAGAGATATAACACAAAAGATTTTATGCAAAGAACCCCATCCCCAGCAACACCACAATACTTTCAAATGCTATCATAAAAAAGACAGTGAAATGCATTTAAGTGATTCTAAAGGCTTATTTTTTTTTTAAGAAAAAAATAATAAACATGTCTATACTTACCTATGTGTGCAGTGGTTTTGCACAGAGCATCCTGGATCCTCCTCTTCTCAGGTCACCAGAAGGCTCTCCTGGCCCCTCCCTCCTGTCGGGTGCTCCCTCAGCAAGCAGCTTGCTACAGGGGCACCTGCTGCTTCCTGTGTCCATTCACACACGGAACCGTGGCTTGGTCCCACCTCCTCTAGCTTCTCATTAGCTCACTGGCTGTGATTGACAGCAGTGGGAGCCAATGGCTCCTGCTTCTGTCTCAGCCAATGAGAAAAGGGAGTCCCAGGATAGCCGAGACTCCAGTGCACATAGCTGGATCGGGGCATAGGTGAGTATTAAGGGGGCTGGGGGTGATGCTGCACACAGAAGGTTGTGAATGCATGAAAGTAAAAAAACCTTGAGCCTTTAGAACCAATTTAAAGTGTTACTAAGCCCACAACAGTAAAATCAGTCTGTATATGCAGTCAAGCATGTTTGTTATACTCACTGTGGAACCTAAGGGGTTAATCCTCTGCATTGTGTAAAAAGTCTGTTTGATCCTGTCTTCTCTGATCATCCCCTTCTTCTAGTGTCCCTGAATCATCTCCTGACAAGACAGAGGTTTTTGGAGTCACTCTGCACATGCTCAGTTTAGCGTGCATTGCTAGAGAGTTTTTTTTTTTCTTTGGAAGAGTGCATGTGATCAGCACCGGACCAATCAGCACTGTCCAGACAGAGGGTCAGGGGTTATGCAGTAGTCATAGGGCAGTCATAGGAGAATGAAAGCTCCTCCTACAAGCTTTACCCAGTGCTTGGCTGGACACTGATAGAGGTCACAAGACTGCTATATACTGCTGATGAGAAAAGGTATTTAGCAGTTTATATTTAGTAAACTAATTGCATTTCCATGGTCTGTGTACTGTGGGAGACCAGATATAGTGAATGCATGAAAAGATGCAGGGTCCTGGGTTTAGTAACACTTTAAGTTTGCTTCTTTAATATCTCAACAGAATCTGGCCTTCCATTGGCACCATGCTTTTGTTCCACCAGGCCATTTCCTGGCATCTGAACACAAATATTTCCTCTGTCTCAGGCCCACAAAGAGGGAGAAGCCAAACTCCAAAATGTTGTGTGGCATCACTGGCAGGATAGGAATCAATTACAATACCAAACTGCATACACTATATTGCATACACTATATTGCCAGAAGTATTGAGACACCCCTCTAAATCTTTTCAGGTTCCAATCACATCCATGGCCACAGGTATATAAAATCAAGCAGCCAGGCATATACTCTGCTTCTACAAAAACATTTCTGAAAGAATGGGTTGCTCCCAGTGAATTCAAGCGTGGTACCATGATAGGTTGCCACCTGTGCAAGTCCATTTGTGAAATGTCCTTTCTACTACATATTCCATGTTCAACTGTTAGGGGTATTATAACAAAGTGGAAGCAACTTGGAACAACAGCAACTGAACCATTAAGTGGTAGGCCATGTAAAATGATAGAGCGCGAGTCAGCGCATGCTGAAGCGCACAGTGCGCAGAAGTCGCCAACTGTCTGCAGAGTCAATACCTAAAGACCCCCAAACTTCCTGTGGCCTTCATATTAGCACAACAGTGTGTAGAGAGCTTCATGGAATGGGTTTCCATGGCTGAGCAGCTGCATCCAAGCCTTACACCACCAAGTGCAATGCAAAGCATTGGATGCAGTGGTGTAATGCACACCGCCACTGGACTTTAGAGCAGTGGAGACATGTTCTCTGGAGTGGCGAATTACGCTTCTCTTTTTGGCAATCCCATGGACATGTTTGGGGTTGGCAGTTGCCAGGAAAATGGTACTTGCCTGACTGCATTGTGCCAAGTGTAAAGTTTGGTGGAGGGGGGATTATGGTGTGGGGTTGTTTTTCAGGGGTGGGCTTGGCCCCTTAGTTCCAGTGAAGGGAACGCTTAAGGTG